ACTTTCGACTGAATTCATCTATGAACGTGATAAAGTATATGTTGCCTACAATCAAATCCACTTGGATTGGACCACATACATAAGAGTATATGACTTCTAGAGTTGCCTTCGACTTCCTTCCTACATCCTTGCTGAAACTATTCTTGTGTTGTTTCGACTGAACACACTCTTTACAGACTTCACTTGGAATGTCAATTTCAGGTAATCCTGAAGCCATATTTCTTCTCTTTAACTCTCTGATGTCATTGAAGTTGAGATGACCTAGTCGAAAATGCCATAACCACTTATCTCTGCTGGCTACAATTGCTAGGCATTTGTGCTCCATCACATTGAGTTTAATCTTAAAGGTCCTATTCTGAGACATTTGAGCCTTCAAGATCAACCTACCACTTGTGTCGAGAACTCTCATCATCTTGTCTTTGATCGACACCTTGTAGTTCTTTTCGAGTAGCTGCCCTATACTGAGCAAATTATTCTTCGTGCCTGGTATGTACAACACATTGAAAATTGTTGACCTCTTGCCATCTTTCCTCATAATTAAAACGTCACCAATACCTTCAACTGCTATAGTATTTTCATTTGCAAATTTCACCATGTTCTTTGACGAGGGCTTTATGTTGACAAACCAATCTTTCCTTCCAGTCATGTGTGATGAGTATTCCGAGTCCAAGTACCATTGGTCCTGAAATCTCTCTTTGTCTCTTGTTGTAACCATTAGCAACATCTCTTCTTCTTCATGCTTCGCCATCTTTACACCAGTTTCTTGATTCTTCTTCTTTTCTCGATATTCACTAAAATAGTGACCATACTTCTGACAATTGAAACACTGAATGTGACTTTTATCAGAATTTCGCCCATCACCTCTTCCTCTACCTACATCACCACCTCTTTGGTTGCCTTTATTCCAGGGTTTTCTTTGATTCGACCAGTTTTCTTTCTCCTGATTTTGACTAGTCGAATTGTTGTAGCCTTATCTATCTTTGTTGCCATTCTAGCTTCCTTTGCCTTTCCTTTCTTTTTCTGACTGCGCTTGCAAATCCATATCATTCTTCGAATTTCCTGCAGCTTTTTCAGCCATCCTTTGTTCATGAGACTCAAGCGTCCCTTGAAGCTCTCCCTTCGTCAATGTTGACAAGCTACCACATGGTCGAACTTTGGAGCCAACAACCTCAAGATCTTTGCAACAATCCTGATGTCAACACTTCTCCACATATCTTGATTTGATTCACCAGCTTTGAAACTCTAGTGAAGAAATCTATTATACTTTCACTTTTTTTCCATCTGAAGCAATTCATAGGTTCTCTTGTGAGTTTGTAACCTCACCTCGTTCATCATTTCTGCGCATCCAAACGACTTTTCAAGAATCTCCCACACTTCCTTTGCTGATTCTACATCATTAACCTTTTCAAAATTATCTGGCTCTACACATTGATGGATTATAAAGAGAGTTTTATAATCTTTCTTCTTCAATTCTTTGAATATAACATTTTCTTGATCAATCGCGTTTTCTGCCAGCGGTGCTACTCCCCCCTTCACAAGATCCTAAAGATATTGATAACAGAAAACCACCTTAATCTGCTTGCATAAATTCTCATAGTTATCTTTCTTGAGAATCAGAAGGTTTGCCGAAGCTATGGTACCAGATGTTGAAAATTCAACCACAACCTATGGAGAATTTCACTCGATCAATCTTGATCTCAAGATTGTTTCAACCCACGTAATGACAATGAAAGAAAAGTTAAAAAAAAGAAGAAAGAAAGTAAACGTCGAAAAAGAAGAAGATGAATAATTTTCTGCAGAGAACTCTCTGCCCACAAACTGTGAAAATTCTGTTATTTTACTTGCAACTGCAAACTGTGAAAATTCTGTTATTTTACTTGCAACTGCAAACTGTGAATTACAAAATATGATGAGATGTTTACAAAATAAGAGTTTCTCCCTATTTATAGATTTAAGTTTGCTTACACCCCAATACAAAGTTCAAAACTATAAAAGTGCAAAATAACTAACATTACTAAAATATGTCTAAGTCGAAATCCTATGTAAAACAATCTACTTTGACACTTCGACACACTAAGCAACTCAACACACTAACACATTAGACTAATTTGACTAATCTTTATTTCTGTCAAACTAAACTGTTTCGGCACAAAGAATTACAAATTCAACCGGTCATCAAACAAAAAGTGGTGCTAAAACTTAGATAGGAGCCGGCTAGCAAAAATCTAAAATGACTAATCCAATGCATCTGTTTGTGTTTTCAAAATAAAATGTAAAAGGACAAAATGAAGGGTCTGATTGCCTTCTGTCCACACTCCACCGTTAATATAAAGACACAATTTTTTTTGCACATAATCATAATACCACTGTAATTGTTTTAATCAATTTTCATTACTACTACAAATTTTATAATTCACCGTTTAACTATAACAAAAAAAATTGTGTCCCGTTAATTAGATTTGTAATAAGAAATAAGAATTTATTGCAAAACAGAGGATATTACGAAGAAGATGGAGATGACATAAAATTAAATTTTTATAGTGATAAATTTTTACTCTGACATGAAGAAACATGTGCCCTCTAGAATGGTTTGCATTGGTTTAGTAAGTTAGCATGTGCTTCTATTCTCCTGAACATACAGCCTTATCATTATCATTATCATTGTTAGTATATGAATATAATAAAATACTTCACATGATAAGATATATATGGCCAATCCATAGTGTTATAAAGAACTAGCTATCAATCAAAATTAAGATTAAACACATAAACTCTTCTACATGTTCTACTTTGTATACGTGGCGTTTCATGCATGTGCACTGTTCATATAAATTTATTTTACTATCATATTTAATAAATTCTCAATATTCTCTCATGTTATTCCACATTGTAAAGTGTGTGTTCAAATTATTTTATTAATAGAATTTAGCCTATGATTAATAGAATTTATAATTGCTCTTAGTAATTTTCTTTAAAATATTAGTCTTCTATAAATTAATAATTTTTATTAATATTTCGTAATTAAACAATATATTTATATTTAAAATACATGTGATTGATAAAAATGAATATTTGATATATATAGTAAGTAGATTCAGCTTGAAATTTACCGAAACACGCAACTCTTTTGTAATTTTTTCTATTTATTTTCGTTTTGAATAAAATGAAGATGTTGAATTAAAATTGTGATTAATAAAAATATTAAGTATTTTATATCATGCGAATCACATTTTAAAGAATGGATGTTATGAAATAAATAATTATTTTTCTTAAAAATTATTATAATTTTTAACCTTAATTAGTAAGTTGGTCTATATAAGTTAATAAATTTTTTATTTTGATATAGGGGCTCTGTCAAAAATATATTATATAGATCAAAATAAAAAAACATGCCAATTTATAAAAATAAAAAATACATTTAAACTTACTTTTTAATTATTAAATATATTATTAAAATTACAGTTTATAATAATTTAATTAAAATATAATAAAAAAACAATCTAATTTACAATTTTGTTCGCTCAAATTTCCATGATTAAAAAAATTATTTTTCCTATTTTAAATTTAAACATTTTAGTTTTTCTTTCATATTTTTTCATAAAGAATTGATTTTATCTATAAGTTTTCACAATAAATTTATAAATGATATATCTTATAATAAATTTGTTAATTTAAAAATAAATATTATTAATTTTAAGTGTAAAAGTAACCGATGATCAAAATTATTTAAATTTAAAATAAGAAGATTAATTTTATAAATTTAAAATATAATTAAACCTAAAAGATAACATTCAATTATAAAAATTAATAATAAAAATGATAATAATATTATAATAACATAATAAAATATCCACTAAAATTATTTAAAGAATAAAAGCAACACTTGACAATACTTTGAAGATTTTATAAAAAACATATTATATTAAAAATATCATCATCAAATAAAAAATATCAATAAACAATAATGGCAATTTATCAATACAAATAATCTCAATAATAATATTAAAACATGACATTTGGGTTGATCATATTAAATATAATCATAAAAAATAAAGAGAATAGAAAGAAGAAAAAAAAGTATGAAATAAAACATGATGATAGAGAAAGTAGGAGTGAAAGTATACAAAATTTGAATAATATTGTTGATTGAGGGAAATATACATAAAGATATCTTTTCAATATTTTCAAAATCTACTTTATTAAAGAATCTATAAAAAAAATATTTTTAAATATAAAAACTTTTATAAATGGTGAGAAATCTTAATTAGAACTATAAACTTTTTTATATAAAATCTAATGTATTGCTACATCAATTCTTAAATATAAGACATCTTATTCTTTTTTTTTATTTTATTTTTTTTTCTATAACACCCTGTTCAAATATTAATGTGCATTAATAATTTGTTATCCATATGCCCTTTATATTTTTTTCTTCGGTTGACAATAAATACTTTGGTACCCATATATATTATTCTAGTATTTTTTTTATAATTTCTGCAATTTCCTCAATGAAGTTTTATATTTAAGGAAAGAGGTAGTACAATTTATTTTTAAACATAAAAAAAACAATTTGAGTAAAGAAATAATAAAAGGTTAAATTCTTAGTAAGTTTGAATTAATAACAATATCCTAAAGGAAAATTATGTTTAAATAATTTGATTTACAAAAATAGTAACAATATTAAATGATTAGACATTAGTTAGATTAGATACTCAACCGTCTAAATAATTAAAATCAAATAATGATAGTCGACAACACAGAGCTTCTACTACTGCATTGGTATAAAAACAGTACCCATTACTATACTCGCTTACAACAACCAAACAAACTCCTTCAACTCTTCCAACTCCTCCAACTCTGCCGCCAAAATCCATCTCAACGCACCGTTTAAGGCCGTAAGCAATCACTAACTACTTCTTCACTTTCTTTCTCCATCGGTGGTTCTCTTCTCGAATGCCGAGTCACTGACTCACTCGTTTTAACCCTACAAAAAGACGACAATGTCCTCGAGACGCCACTCGCTGAGTGGTCCTCCTCAACTCAGTGGCACAGCTTCGACTCACGAGCTCCGGCAACGAGTCATTACTTGCCTCAACAAACTCTCCGACCGTGATACATTCGCCGGAGCTACCGTAGAGCTTGAATCCATTGCTAGAACCCTAAGTCATGACTCTTTCTCATCTTTTCTTTCCTGCATTCATAACACGGATTCGTCTTCTAAATCTCCGGTTCGGAAACAATGTGTTAACCTTTTGAGCCTTCTCTCGCGTTTCCATGGCGACGCTCTATCTCCGTTTCTTTCGAAGATGATTGCTACTGTCCTCCGTCGTTTGAGAGATCCCGACTCTGTTGTAAGATCCGCTTGCGTCGACGCTGTTGCTGAGATGTCGTCGCGCATCACTCGACCGTCGTTCTCCGTTGCGTTCCTGAGACCGTTTATGGACGCATTAGCGTTGGAGCAGGACATGAATGTGCAGATCGGCGCCTCACTGTGCCTCGCCGCGGCTATTGATGCTGCGCCGGAGCCGGATGTTGAGTCGCTCCGGAGGACTACGCTTCCAAGGCTAGGGAAGCTTCTCAAGACTGACTCGTGTAAGGCGAAGGCGCCGTTGTTGGTTCTCATCGGAAGCGTTGTCTCTGTCGGCGGTGCTTCGAGTCGTGGAGCAATGAATTGGTTGGCTCCGTGCCTTGTCGAGTTTCTGGGTAATGAGGATTGGACTGTGAGAAAAGCCTCTGCGGAGACATTGGGGAAAGTAGCTTCAGTGGAGAAAGATTTGGCGTCGCAGCATAGAGTCCTGTGTCTGGATTCGTTGCAAAATAAACGGTTTGATAAGGTAATTTCAAATTTGTTTGGTTATGGGGTAAAGGAAATTGATGTTGAGTTGATTCTAAAAAAATTGATTATGACTTGAAGATAAATTGATATATGTTTGTATAAATTTTTGAAAAAGAGAGTTGAGAATAAGTTTCAATTTAAAAATCACACTTAAAATTAAAAGTTACAAATTCTATCTTCAATTATAATTTATTCCGAAAAGCATAATCAATTCTATTAAGAGCAATCAATTATGTAAGAATTGATTTTATATATTTAGAATCAATTCTGAGTGCCTCAAATGTGAAATCAAGAATACATACCCTTTTGAAAAGGATAGTGTTGTTGAAAGTTGATGTGATGTCGGTGATGCTGTTATTGCAGGTCAAAGTTGTTCGAGAGACTATGAATCTGGCATTGGATATGTGGAAGGAAGTAAAAGATGTGTCTGAAAATGCTCCTACTCCGGTTAAGTCTGCATGTGTTTCAGTTGGTAAGTTCTTTTTTTTTGTTTAATTGTTTTGGTAAATGTTAATTAAATTTCCAAATAGTGATCTTATTTGTTCATAAGTATTGCCGCATTTAAGGTTTGGTATAGTAAGCTATTGCTCTCTATGAACTGAAGTGAATCTTCAAGTGTGCTATGTTAGTTTCAGTTTAGTTTAATTGGAATTAAAAATGGGCTTGTGATGATAGTTATTTTAAGAGAATTATTGCGACATGCAATGATACGATTTTCTTAAATCATTGTCTCCTTGCCCTATTAGTGTTTTCGGGTCTGTGTTAGTGTTTCTCAGGTTTGGAATCTCCTTGAAGTTGGTGGTGAAAAATCTTGGAATGGGTCCTTTGTAAAAAATTTGATCAAATTTATGCATGTTTTTGTCACTATCTTTAAACATCAAGTTGATGAAGATATTTCCATTTAGAATTTGAAGTTAGGCTGTCTATCTTTTGACTTATTTTTTCTGTAAAATTGTTTTCAATTTAGAACTATTGAAGGAATGAGGCTTTAGTAGATGTTGGTGCAGTAATCTCATTGTTCTTTATGTTTGCATATTTTTTACATAGGCACAGAAGATGGTGGAGGTCTGTCTGCAACCAAAAGTTCACCTTTTGTGGGCTCTAAATTGTCCCAACTAAAGAAAATGGTTCCTTCAAAAAGTTCACCTCCATCTACAGTTTCATTTAAATCCTCTGGCAAAAGAGAGATTCCTATAAAGAGTAATGACAAGCATTCAAGAACGGGGATGTTGCGCCAGCAAAATCATGAAAAATTCTCTGATGAAAAACTTCAAACTCCAGTATCAAAGTCCTCCCATTCAAACGTGACCAAGGAAGATGATATTAAAAGGTGTGATTTTGAATCTTCTAAGTCACCCACATATCAGAATGCGACAAATTTGAGGGCTGATGTAAAGCAAGTTTTCCTTAACAAGATGTCAGACGAGAAAGTGCGGAAGTATGGTGCTTCAAACTCTCGTGTAGTTCCATGTGATGATGACGATCTCGACACAGATGTTACTGTCAACAATGTAAATGAAGTTTGTGAGAGCCCACAAGATGTTGAGGATTTGTCTTTGATACGGGAACAACTTTTACAAATAGAAAACCAGCAATCAAATCTGTTAGACCTCCTCCAGGTATGTTGTGTCCCGATATACCTTTTACTGTGTTGAGTCTGTCTTGTTTTGACTAGTTCTATTCCTGTCAATCTAGTTTTAGGGCGGCGCCATATATATTTCTGACTTGTGTCCTCATCTTTATTTGAATATAGAGATTTATTGGAACCTCCCAAACTGGGATGAATTCTCTGGAGACACGTGTACATGGTCTAGAAATGGCATTGGATGAAATATCATATGATTTGGCAGTATCAAGTGGCCGGATTCCCAACACTGATGCCATAGAAGACATGTGTTGCAAGCTACCTGGTACTGACTTTCTGAGTTCTAAATTCTGGAAGAAGACAGAAGGTAGGTATTCGACGCCAAGGTTCTCTTTTGGAAGCTCAGCACCTATAAATAATGTGCATAGTGCTACTGATAGAAATGGAAGCAAAGAAATATTAACTACAAATAGCAAAAGATTTCAGCATCGAAGGGATGAGGGTGGATATCTTGTGAACCCATTGCCAGAAATTCAAAGCGATTTGAAGGGTCACTCAGGGCAACTTTCGTATAAATTCTCTAAAAACTTTGTTCAAGATGCTGGGAGTGTACAAAGTAACAGTTCCAGCAGATTTGATGGCATTTCATCAACTAGGGAAATACTGAGGAACCAGAATATCAGGTAACTATTCAAGTAATTTAATAGTTATATTGAGACACTACTGCCGTCCAGTTAAATTTTGTTGCTCCTTTTATTTCAATTATGTAGTTGTTATTTGCGAGTATTGGTGGATTTTGTGAAGTTGCTGTTTGTATTGGTATTTGCTACCTTACTCAATAACTACACGTTGCGAATGAGTTAGATCCTGGTTAATGATATTTTCATGACTTTGGATTGTTATAATCTCTGATTGAGTCGAGTAAGCCTAGATTGTAACAGTATGTGGGTTAACTGGTTAAATTGGGCTATATAATGTTTCACTATTTTTGAGATTCTGTATTGTTTTAAGATAACTTACAATTTTGTTCTTTCCGTGTTTCATCAGGTCATCCGCATAGAGAAGACAGATTGCAGCAAGCATCATGAAACCACTCTCCTTGCTTGTTGGTTTAGGTTGCATTGCACAAGATGTATTACAGATGAGGAAATTTTCTTCTTGTGTAAGCTTGTAGAAATGTGATGCAGACGTAGAAGTTTTCTTTGAGATGTATCTTAATTAGATTATATTATATCATGTATTTGCCCTTTTCCATTGGCAGTAGATAGCAAAGAAAGTGATTGTTCCGTAGGATGCATGGATGAAGTATGTGTTGGTTGTTTGGTGGAATATAAAATATTAGCATTGTAAATAAGTTTAGTGGGTGTTAAAGGTTGTAGAGCAATTGATATCTTGGGACATGAGTTCAAATATGCAATTTTCTATCAATCAGTATTTAGTGAGTTCGGTGGTTAAACTCTTCAAAGTTTTACAGTAAAATAGTATTAGTAGAAAGATGCACATAGAAAAAACCTAACTTTTAAGAGTAGGTGCCTACAAATTATGCTACAAAAACATTGATTTTAAGCACTTTTTTCAATAGAAAGATACACATTTTTTAATATTTTCTAACCTAAATTACAAGTGGGTTGCAAGAAAATTCTTGACTTGATGTGAACAATTATGGTATTTGGAAATGGCCAAGAAATGTCTCAGGTCATACTATCAAACTGCTCTAGGTCATACTATCAAACTGCTCTGTCTGAGTATAAACATTTGGAGAATAATAGGCTTGAGTGAAGTAAACACTAGGTTATATTCTCTTTTTGTTATGGTAAAAGATGAGAAATTTTAGGGAAATGCTAAATCCCAAAGAAAACATTCTATCAAAATTCAAAAATATCATTTGGATTCTAGAAATGTAGAAGTTTTATCCTGCCAACCCCATCTTTGACCTGACACTTCCACATACACCATGTGCTTTTATCATACTAATTTTGTATAATGTGATAATTCATTTCACAAAAAGAATTGGAAGATTTTGAATTTTTGAAAAGTTTTGAAGATTACCAAATTTTTTAAAGTTTCTATTGTATATTTTGAATTTTTGAAAAACTTTGAAGATTATCGAATTTTTCAAAGTTTCTACTGCATATTTTGAATTTGATGACCAGTAAATAGCAATTTTAGTATGAAGCTATGTATTTTTACCACGTTTTTTTAAAACCAATAAAAAATCATGCGTTGCATACATTTTTATCAGATTTTTTAAAAATCATGTAAAAATATTGGTATTTTTAGTAAGACAAATCACAAATTTTAATTCACTTGAAGAATTAAAGTTTTGAAGATTATCGGAATTTTCAAAACTTCTACCACATATTTTGAATTTTTGAAAAGCTTTGAAGATTACCGGGATTTTGAACTTTTGAAAAGCTTTGAAGATTACTGGAATTTTTAAAGCTTCTACCGCATATTTTGAATTTGATGATCAGTAAGTAGTAATTTTAGTATGAAACTATGTATTTTTACCGTATTTTTTTTAAAAAACCAATAAAAAATCACGTGTTGCATGTATTTTTACCAGATTTTTTTAAAATCATGTAAAAATGCATACATTTATTTATTGGTATTTTTAATAAGACAAATCACAAGTTTAATTCACTTAAAGGATTAAACTCGAAAAAATTCTAAAGACATATTATATAAAAAGTATTGAAAAAAGTGCATTTGTGCTTGATAACTTAACGTTGAAAGGTAAAACAATTGGATAAAAATCCTAAGAAATAAAATGAAGAATTGCTTGAAAGATAAAGTTAACGAAGAAAATAAATAAAAGCGATGAAGTAAAAAAATTTAAGTTAAAAGTGAGACATAAATTCATACATTTATCACAAGTCATTTTATCTCTATAACTTGGATGCTTGATTTTTTTAGAGAACAACAATAAAAAATGTAACTCTTATTAAAGAGATCAAATATACTTATATTCATGTACATCAATAATTGTCGATGACAAACAATTTTTCAGCATTCGGCACGTACATTATTACGTGGTCTTTTGTCCTATGTATTGCTTCCACGTGTCTTCAGTTCTTATACTACTGCAAGATTGCTACTTTTGTCGAAGAACATCTTCGGGTATTTCAACTACCTTTGTTGAGAATCTTTCCTGTCAAATTTTGTGACTTTGGTGTCGAAAATATGATTTAGCTATCTGTACTCGGCCTATATATTTATCTCACCTCTACTATTCTCGAACATGCTGAGTCGAAAATCTCAGACTAATAGATGCTTCCCAAAAATGTCACTTCCGATCATGTTTGCAATATGGAAGAAAGATGACGTTTTTAGTATACTCTTGACACTGTTTAAAGCAGTCTGCATATATCATCGTTATCATGACCACTTTCACCTAATCGTTAAGTCAATGAACGTGCGTGAAATCTCCATAATGATTCCAACTTCCAAAAGCAACGTGGGCCACAAGATTTGACCATATTTAGATAAAATATAAAATCATTTTAATTTCTAACGATTTTCACAAAAACCAAAGTCAAAATGTTAATGAGTTTTAACTTCGAAGAAACTGATAAGTCTCATTTCGAAAATCTATATATAACTTCTCTTTCGCTTATCTCGTCTTCTTCGCAACATTGATTTATCATCTAAACCTTAAAAGCTTTTATTTTTTCTGAAACTTTCATTTATATCACTCGTTCTTCCACTCAAATTCTAAAACGATACATTACATTTACTAAATCTATTTATGCGATCTTCAAACATGTTATTATTTTAATTGATCATAAAAAAAAGGAGTAAAGAGTCCTAAAGTTTTTTTAACATGAAAAATAAATTGAAAGTGTTGATATTTCTATTTGTTCTATGTAAAAGAAAAACTTTAGACAATAATTATTTTGAACTTAGAGGATGCTTTAATGAGTGGTCTATTTTGACACTTTTGTAAGTTTAAATAGGTTGTTATATCAAATAAAAGTATTGCATTAAGTTATCTTTAAGCAACACTTTTTACTTAGAGCAATGTTAGATTTCATTTTAAACATCTCTTTCTTTCTGTTTATAAGTGTTATCTTATAGAAATTTTATAAATTGCTATTATCATCTTAAAATGCTAATATAAGTTATCTTTAATCAATGCTTTATGTTAAAAATGATGTTATATATCAATATTAAACACATCTTTTTGTTTAAAAGCATTGTCATATATCAAATTTAGAGAGCAATTTTATCTGAAAACACTTTTACAAGTAGAACACTCATATGTCTTATGAATGTTGTCAAATAGAATTTTTAATATTTTTTTGTGACATCAAATTTTGTTATTCAATTCTATTATCACAAATCTCATAATTATAGATCAATGCTACTTTAGTCTAACACAATCATGTCAAATTTAAAACAAAAGTCTACAGTTAAATCATGTATTATACTAAAATATAAAGGGAAGAACAAGTGCTCCAGAGGTGATTATTAATCCAAACACTCTGTAAAATAACTTAAGTTTTCATAAAATTGACAATCTCTTTGATACAATTCAAAATTAAATTTTAATAGATTATGTGTGTGTAGTCTATATTGTATGTTTGAGAATTTGATATTTAATTACTTTAATGATCCCTTCTTCCAAATCTTTTGTTTTCATGTATTCTGCATGTGCATAAATGAATCAACATATGTCATAAATGAATCTAGTCACAAATAAGCATTAAAAAACATTTAAATAAGCATTAGAAACACATAAATTGAAAATTTATACAACGTTATATAAGCATTAAAAAAATGTAGGATGTAGTTTTTAGTATAGTATTTGTCATAGAAATAAGGATTAATACCATTTTTGCCCATATGGGCAATTTTTGTTTTACTCAAAAAAAAAAAAAATGTGATTCTGACCTTACCACTTGAGTATTCTATTCTTAAAAAATTTTTAGTGAGAAGATTCAGTCAAATTTCTTACGTGGCATGTTGGGTGACAACAAAATTTATTTTCATTTTTTTAATGACACCTATGTGTTGAAAGATTAAACTTGATTTGAGGCTAAATATATTATTTAGATTTTTAGGCTTATTTATTTTGGATTTACGTAATTTTAATTAATATTTTTAGAAAAGTCTTGTAATGTTTGGAGTGTCTAGATATTTTTTAGGGTTGTAATATTTTCTAGAATGCTCTTGGAATTCCTAGAGTTGAGAACTCTCTAGAATTAGTGCGTCTAGAGTTTTCCTTAGAGTATTATAAATAGAGACGTAATTCTACACTTTTGTATCAAGAAAAATACAAAGTTCTCTCTTCCATAAATAATTCTTCTACCTATCAAGTTTCTCTTTAAGCCGTTAATATTCTCACGCTTTTCCTAAACACAAAAGGTCTTATTTCCAACAAAGTGGCATCAGAGCTTGAAGGTCCTCAAAAGATGGCGAATGAAGGTTTCCCTTTTCAAATGTCGATACTCACAAAGAGCAACTGTGACAATTAGAATATCAAGATGAAGACGTTACTAGGAGCTCAAGATATGTGGGATATTGTTGAGAAAGGCTTCAAGGAGCAAGATGAAGCCCCCTTAAGCCAAGGTGTAAATGAGACATTAAAGGAGTCAAGAAAGAGAGACAAGAAAGCTCTCTTCCTCATTTATCAATCGGTGGATGAAGATACATTTGAGAAGATCTCCAATGCAACGATGGCCAAAGAAGCATGGGACAAACTTCAGACTTGCAACAAAGGAGTGGAACAGGTAAAAAAGATTCGTCTTCAAACTCTTAGAGGTGAGTTTGAACGTTTATTTATGGAAGAGTCTAAGTCAATTTCTGATTATTTTTCTCGAGTATTATCCATAGTCAATCAACTTAAAAGAAATGGTGAAGATGTTAATGAGGTGAAAGTCACGGAGAAAATACTTCGCACTTTAAATCCAAGTTTTGACTTCATTGTTACCAATATTGAAGAAAACAAGGATTTAAACACCATGACTATTGAGCAACTTATGGGTCCCGTACAAGCATACAAAGAAAAACAAAAGAGAAAAACTAAACAAAAGGAGACTATGGAGCAACTACTACAAT